AAAAAAAAGTAAATAATTGTAGGTAATATTAAATGTTTTATTTTTGAGGGCGAAAACATTTAAATTCTAGGACTACAAATTTTTAAAATATCATCTGGCTAGGCTAGCTCTTTTATGGATATCTCGAGATGTTTTAATTCTTTGCAATTAAGATAAAATTTGTAAATATATAAGCTCTGAAATTTTGTTTGTAACCGTAAAGGGAAGGAGGAAAGAAAACATTGTATGTTGCGGTAAGTTCTTTAAAGAGAAAAAAAAAAGAAATCCATACAACTGTAGAACAATGTTCTATAAATAAAAGAGAAAGAAACTAGCTATTCACAAAGGGTTTTTTTAAAGAGAAGAAAAAAGAGAAAGCAATTAAATATTAACAATGGATTCATAAAATAAAAAAATAAAAGAGAGAGAGATAGAAAGAGCTTAAGTCTAACAAGGGCGGGTTTTATATCAAGAAAATAGGAAGGTTACTGTTAATTAATGGTTCTTGGATATTAGGTCTTAGGATCATATCAGAGAATAGAGACTCCTGGGGAGATATTCTCTTTAGATATATAATATCTAACTATGGGTAACCCTCTTCTTTTTCTGAAACATTTTCACTGTAGTTTAAAAACTATATAGATTAAAAACAATCAGAGCTGGGAACTTTAGAATGGTAAATATCAGGATTAATGCTTAATCCTCTGTTTTTACTAATCTCGAGACTAACATAATCTCGAGATTATATTAGTCTTGAGATTAAATATTTAGATCAAAAAATTGGATTCTAAGAATGCCAGATTGGTTCGTTTTCTTGACTGAAAGGGCCCTGACTTAATTTCTCACCCATTTTTTTATTAATACATTCGTTAAAATTGGTTACAGAAGAATCTCAAACCTGTAATCAAATATTTTTCTTCGCCGATTAATTTACAAAATGGCCGACAACAAATTCTTTGTTAGAAATTGCAGATTGCTCTCATGGGATTGAATTTATAGATATCCAAAGAGAGAGTAAAAGCGTGGATGAAGGACTAAAATTAAAAGTTTCCACAGTGGCTATAACATTTTTTGAAAAAAATGCACTTTTGTACAGTATTTTACTGCAGTCTGCAGAAATAAATGTCCACAGGAGACTATACTCAGAACTTCAGAGAGTTATACAGAACTACAAAAATCATATACAGAGGGATACATAACAATATATAGTCCTTGAATCATGGACTTCATTGGACTACAAATGGGAGTAGTCTCTGTACAGGCCCGTAACTAGGAATTTACAAAGGGGGGGGGGCACAAAAGTTAAAAATAGCATAGATAGATAAGATAAAGGGCGCGTCGTAGGCGGTAAATTTGTTTGACCTGGAAAACTGAAAAAGAAATTGATATCAAGAAAAGCCCAAGCTGGAAAATCTTCAGTTTTCTCGAAACTAAAATTTAAAAAAACTCCCCTGCAAGCCTGAGGATGAGTATAGATATAGATGGGCAATAGCCAAATTCCTTTTACAGAAAATTTTAATGTTTTTAGACTTTTAAAATATTTTACGACAATATGAGAAGGTTCCAACATTTCAAAACTTTATTCTGTAGAAGTTTGCTTTTATCAAACATGCAAATTTGTTACCCGAGAAGAAAATATAAGGCAAGAACGATCAGTTTAAAACAATCGTTTTTGGGTTCACGCTTTAAAGGCCCTAAATATATACCATTTAAAAAAGTAGTTTTGCCCGGAAGAGTCAAATGTGGTGGTACGGAAGGGGAAATAGTGGTGGCTCATGGCCGCCGGAAGAGAAAAAAGCTAATATGTGGTACGGAAGGGGAAATAGTGGTGGCTCATGGCCGCCTGCCTTCCCCCGCTCCCATGACGGTCATGAGCACTCCCAGTCCCCCTTTATTTAAGTTGCAATAATGAAATTATATTGTCAGGAAAGCAAAACTTTATATGCACTTGATTATTAAAATATTCTCAAACAAATTCTTTTAATTATATAGAGATAAAGTTTTGTGGTACATATTCACTCGATCAAGGAGAGTTGAATAGAAGGATCGGGGGCGATAGGGTTTTCGTACACTTTGCTGTGACGTTTTTGGACTGCCAGAGATGCGCCAGATGTCTGTTTATTATTAGTGTTATTGTTTACAATCTTTATTATTGCGTTGTTACGCAAAAACTAGTTCTTCAGCAGTCCAAAAACGTCACAGCAAGTTTTACGGAAAGAAACCCTATCGCCCCCTCCTTCTATTCAATTCTTCTTGCACTGCACTCGATCATCCTCTTGCAATTATATTGAGTACGTTGTGTACATATGTACTTACTATGCTAAATTACAAAGTACGAAAATTTTAAAAACCGGATTTATAGCACAACAAATCTTTGTAGTATCTCTATTATACGATCATTGTTTAGTAATCATTTGGAACAAGTTAGTGTTCTTGTAAATATACAACAATACGGACTTCATTTGTGAGCTATAATTAAAATTATATACGTCTTAGATTTTTTTTTGATGTAAAATAATTGAAGTTTGAGATGTTATTGTTTTCTTAGAAATGCATAATGTCAAGTGGACTCTAAATGTTTCAAATTAAAACTAATTTATTGTTAGTTGTTTTTGTTTATCAACCTTTTTCGCCTCTTGACATTTTTCTTCATGACCCCCCCTTTCTTTTCTCCCCCTTAATTACGCATCTTTTTCGTTATAGAAGTTTATGCCAAACCAAATCTTATTGACCCTGCACGGAGGTTTCAAGTTTAGTCCTGCTCTACCTAGCTTGTCATTATCTTAGTAGACTCGGAAAATCCAGTTTTCTACTCTCCTACCGCCTTCCAACCAGGGCAGCACACAGACAGCTTCGTAGAGTTTTAGAAATTTTCTTGTCATATGATTCATCATTGTCGTTGGAAGTAGTGAAAGCTTTTAGATTGCATAGTTAAAATTAGTGAATTGATTTTTAGAATTTGGTTTCCATTTTGAATTTTTAGGTTCTGAAAATGTTCAAGTCATCATTTTTCAGTTATGAGTCACTTTAATGTCAGATTTAATTTTAAATTACTTGGATCTCACGTGTAACATGGATATCATTGGTCATGTGGCCGCAGCGCCCGGCCCCCTAGCCTGTCCTAGCCGCGGCGCTTGGCTCCCTAGCTTATCCTAGTCTCAGCACTCGGCCCCCTAGCCTGTCCCTAGCTACAGCGCTCTGCCCATGAATTGTGTAACCAAACATACTCCTTAATAAGAAATAAATAATAACTTTGCTGAATTTTTGGTCATGTACAAAATTGATAGGAGGGAGGGGGCCAATAATCATACAAATCATTGGTCATGTGGCCGCGGCGCTCGGCCCCCTAGCCTGTCCTAGCCGCGGCGCTTGGCTCCCTAGCTTGTCCTAGTCTCAGCACTCGGCCCCCTAGCCTGTCCTAGCTACAGCGCTCGGCCCATGAATTGTGTAACCAAACATACTCCTTAATAAGTAGTAAATAATAACTTTGCTGAATTTTTGGTCATGTACAAAATTGATAGGAGGGAGGGGGCCAATAATCATACTTGAACTGACCCAGAGTCTTCAGTTGAGTGGATCGACTTGGAAAGCAAATTTTCTGGGTCCGTCTTAGAGAACGATTTTCTGAATTTAGGAAATATCGAGCGGGGGTTTCTTTTCATGATTATTTTGGAGTCCACCCTACTTCATACTTTCCCTCAAACATTTATTCGTTTTTCTAAAAATCATTGCACTACGCACAAACCCACCTAAGTCGGTTCTGGGAGAAAGAAAGATTTTTCTAAACAATGCTACCAAGACAGAGCTTTTTTTCCACCCATGTACTGCAGTACACTGTAGTACAACTACAACATATGTGAAAACATTGCTATAAAAGTTTCGACCACTATTATAATATTTTAAAGTTCCCAAGCCATATATGTAATTTAAAACTTTGCACTATACTTCTCTTTGTTGCCCTTAATTTTCTATCGTGGATTTGGAAAAATCCAACTATTCAATTCTAGCCATCCATGAACCTTCCCTGAGGCCGTTCCTTCTACAGATAGTGGACGTGTAGTTCATGTACTTTGGAGGACGATAATATGGCCGCTAGATGTCTCCCGTGAGTTATTCATGGACGGACAGAGTTTCTCACCCCATACGGTATCTGGATCATTAGCCGTGCATTAGCCGTACTGTGGCCATAATTTACTTTGAGAAAAGGTGGCAGCACTAATCAAAGTATAGCTTTCTGATAATCTGATTTCATTTCATAAATTGATTGCAGTGTTGTTTTTGAGATCCATTATGAATTTGAAATAAAATCAAAGNTAACGTAACATATTTTCAGACTGAACTAACATTATATTCAATATGTCTGACGACGCAGCTGCACCAATCTACTCTCCCTTCTTCGGGGTTATGGGAGCAACATCAGCAATGGTATTCGGAGGTAAGATGAAGCTTATAAAACAGATGTTAATTCGTAAAAAAGGCTTTTACTACATTGGCCCACATTATATGGGAATATTTATTGTATTCCTGTATTGATAAGGAAATGTTTCCTCCTTTTGTGAGTTTTTACATTCTATTGTTTCAACGCATGACAACCCAATAAGTCAAGAAGCAATCCTGGCCAATAGCAATACAACACGTTTTTAACACTTATATGCAAGTTTCAATGTCACCGACTTTTTCTGCAATCGCGAAAATAATTATCATGGTTTAGAAAAGTGGGTTGTCAAATTTTTAGTGTTTGCCAATTTGTTTGTGAAAATGTCGTTATTTGTGAATCGAATCTTGCAAAACTGCAATTAATCCCAAAAAAGATTGTTTGTTTAATTCACAATATTTAGCTATGGGAGCTGCCTACGGAACCGCCAAATCTGGAACTGGTATCGCCGCAATGGCAGTTATGAGACCTGAGGCGATTATGAAGTCTATCATCCCTGTTATCATGGCGGGTATCATCGCCATCTACGGTGTTGTAGTGGCGGTTCTAATCGCCGGACAGTTGGAACCTGCTCCAGCCTACACACTCTACAGGTACCCCCACCCATTTAATTTAGTGTTTAGTTGAGCTAAAAGTGTAAGGTACTTTCCGAAAGGCACCTAAAATTACAATTTCCCTAAATTATATTGTTATTGTAATATCCCAAAATGTGCATTTTGCCATGACTGTGCCCAAAACCTTTGATTTTCAAAATGGCTATTTTCTATGAAGATTTTCCAAATGGAAATTGTTTCCTGGTAAATATAGTTTAAACTATAAGATAGGGTCTTTAATATTTGGGAATCTCTATTTGGGAACTTGTAAATGTTAGATTTTACATATACGAGAACTCGCATAATTTGAATTTACATAAAAGAGATTTTACAAATAACTTTACATAAAAGTGAATTTACAGATGAGAATTTATGAAAATTTACGTATATGAGAATTTACGTGTATGAGAATTTACGCATATGAGAATTTACATAAAAGATTTACATATAAAAACATACTTAAAAGATAATTTACATATCTGAGAATTCACATTTGGAATTTTTATACTTTGGAACTCGAATACTCGATCACTTATTGACTTGGAAACTTGTATACTTGGGAACTTGTAAACTCGGGAACTTGTATACTTTTGAACTTACCGTAACTTATATACTTGTATACTCGGGAACTGTTATACTTGGAAACTTGTATACTTGGGAACTTGTAAACTCGGGAACTTGTATACTTTTGAACTTACCGTAACTTATATACTTGTATACTCGGGAACTGTTATACTTCGGAACTTGTATACTCGGGAACTTGTATACTCGGGAACTGTATACTCGGGAACTGTATACTCAGGAACTTGTATACTCGGGAACAGAACTAAGTATTTGTAAAACTTGCATACTTGGGAATGGAACTTAGTATTTGGGAATTTGCACACTGAGGAAAACTTGTACGAAGGAGGAAACTCTCTCACTGGGAAACTTCATTTTAGAATTTTTTCTCAATTATATAAATATATAAACTGGCTTTTTTTCTTGAGTTGCGCAAACATTTTTCATTGGCTTTCCATTATAAAACTATTTTTGCAAAATTTAAATATTTTGAGAAATTCGATTTAGTCCCTGTTCGTATATCCCCTCGCATTCTATTTGAGCGAAGGCATTTCTCTTAATCTTTTCCTGTTTTGCTGAATTGCTTTTCTAGTTTCTGTCGTCGTAATTATAAGTCTCTCTATTTAATTAAAGGGAGACAGAACTAACTCACAACGGTACCCTTGAAAATTGAAACTTTAATAAACAATGCGGAAGATATTGCCTTATTTCTTTATTATTCAAGAATATATGCGCTAGCCATATTTGCAAAAATCTTAACCATGGATATGAAATTCAGACTTGACCCGACAACAAAGCTTTTATGGGTACTGTTGTGAATCGGACATTGCACTTTTTCAACGAGGGTTTTGTTTCCCTCGTTCTCAAGCTGTCATGTAATATAAAATTATAATGAGAACAATTCTCTCCTTAATTTTTATATTGATATACTAGCTGAAGTGTCCGGCGTTGCCCGTGGAATTTAAGAAAACTTACAAATTTTGTAAGAAATATTTCAAGTATTGAAGAAAAAAATCTTAAGATCAAAAAATGTCTGTGACAATTTGGTACAGCCGTTTGGCGAGTTACAGTTAACATATAAAAGATATAAATATATATTTGACTATGAGCGAAGAGCTATATTATATAGATTTTATTTTTTGCATGCCCGATTCACAGTGGTTCCCTTAAAAAAAAAATTATAGACGCTAAAACCTAGAAAAACGACAATTTCTATCACATTATTGATCAGATAGGGTTCATGGGTACCGTTGTAAATGAACATCCATATTTGTATTGTTAAAAAAGTGACAAAAAGTCTTTGCAATCAAATAGTGATAGATTCTTTCCATGATCAAGCATTGATACACTTCTTAAAGTAAAATTGAGACTTTTAAATAAACTTAAGTACATTTTTAGTCTTATTTTTGTGGTTTATATTTTATCATTTGTTGAGCAAGTTTGATGACGTGGGAAATCAAGATTTGTGGTAGAAAAGTAAAAATGTCACTTTAATATCTTTAGGGGATACGAGTCTCTTTCTAATAAAAAAATCTAAAATAAATAGTTAGCTATTAAGTAGGTTTAGTCATTAGTCAGTTCTAAATTGATTACTATCTCTATGAAGACAAACTCAACTTGGCATCATTATTTTCACTCAATTTAGAGTATTGTCTGGCTCATGTTTCCAGTTTTGAAAAAAATAATTAAGTTTTATTTCTTTCAGAGGATTCGTTCATCTGGGAGCTGGTCTATCTGTTGGTTTGTCTGGTCTAGCTGCTGGGTATGCTGTTGGTATAGTTGGAGATGCTGGGGTCCGTGGTACGGCTCAGCAACCCAGGCTCTACGTCGGAATGATCCTCATCCTTATCTTCGCCGAGGTGTTGGGTCTCTATGGGCTCATCGTCGCCATCTACCTGTACGCCAAGAAATAGATGACGCGAGGACCCTGTTTTATTTATTTATGAACATTCTTCCTTTGAGATGAAGTGATTTCTAAGGGGAATTTTATATAGCCAGTGATTTTTAAAGGGGTGGTTTTAGTGGAGACTAAGGTTTTTATTTTTAATAAATGACTAATTATCTGCACAACTAGTCATAGAACGGCGGGGATAGATATTCTTCCTAGTTATCTTTCATATAACTCCTTTTCTCCTTTACCGAATATATATCCCCTGTAATATTTGCATTTCTCATTCAGAGTTGGTTTAAATAAGATCTGTTCAAAAAGCAAAATTTTATGGTTGAATAAGACTTTATTATGAGTATCTTGTTAATGTATATGTTGTATGAATGGAATATATTCGGAGAAATGATTTCCTGTTTTGCGGGAAAAGTATCAATTGGCGCATTTTCTCCTCCATTATTTGTAAATTGATTTATTGTGATGGGACCTTTCCTAAAACTGCTGCTTAATTAAATGAATCTTTAAAGATTCCCGGAACAGGTCAAATCCTTTATCAATGATTTTATTTAATTAACCTTAATATATTGTGATATTTTCCATTGATGTACATTAGGCATTATTAGTTAACACATTCCCAGCCTGTGTAAACTCGGTTCGTTTCATAGATGTTAATAAGGTTACTTTAGACTATAAATAAATATTTCTAAACTCATTCGTTTCTACACTCTTGTTACAAATTCTTAAAATTGTTGGTTTTGAAGGAATTTTGTGAAAATCCCGTAAAAAGAAAATCTGATTCAAAGTTTTTTAAAAAAAAGGAATTACTCTTTTTAGTGTTTAAAATTGAAGAATTGTTCATTAAATTAACGATAGCAACTTAACTACTTGTAAAATATTTTTCTGTGATTATAAGAATTTTTTTAATGGAAAGTTCTTTTTAGTTCTAGTTAGTAACTGTAGTTACTAGCTCTGTCTAACCCAATCTTCAAATATTAACATTACATTAATTAATTTTTTGTTTAAGAATACTGAAGTCTTAAAGGAAGATGTACACCTAATTTTAATTAACGTGCATTTTTTAAATTGAAGAAAAGTTTGATTGCACAATTATTTTTCAAAAGGAATCCTATTGAACGCCAGACTAAATAAATTTTGTCCAATTATGGCCAATTTCTTATTCATTTAACCATAGGTACAACTATAGGTCATATCTATCTATCTACACTGCTCTGGTAAAGCGTAACCATAGTGTGACTATGGTTCTACCTATGGTAGAGCGTCTAAGAAATTGGCTATTATTAAGACGTACACTCATGACGAGTGGAGCGGACTCGCCCTAAAATTTTAACCATTCAAAATTATGTAAGACATAAAAAGCAATATTAAGTCATTTTCTGATATTTATTTATGAATTCTGATTTGAAAAACACAAATTAATAATTATGTACCGAATAAATGTCAAATGTTTGACTTGAAAGCAAGCTGATATTCAAGAGGAATTAACCTTTTTAACCCTAACCACCTCTGATCGTCTATACGCAACATCCTCCCTACTAAACTTCTGAATTACCAACTGTCCTAGCGCTGCGGTTAGGTGGCCAGGCGCTGCGGCCACAAGTCTATTTCGTCCATTAACATCATGTAACTATGCGTGCTAGTAGGTAGGATGTGTAGTATGGCGGATTTGTGTAGGATTGTGTTAAGTGGTAAAAACTTTAGGGGTCGAGTCCACTCCATGCAGGCTAAGTTGGCTTTTTAAAGATTTTCTAAACCCTTTCGGAACAGGTTGATTCAATAAGTCGTCTTCAATGGCATTTAAAGGTTGGCGGGGTTTTTCCGTTGAGATTAGTTGAGTGTTACCCCGCTAGGCGGCGTCAGCTAGGTCGATACTACGGTTTACAAAAGGAAAGTGTCTCGTCTAGGCCGAGAGCAGGTCACGTGACTAATGGCTGCTACCTATGTCAGCTGTCAAATCTACAAATATTATGCTATTTTTGACGTCCTTCCACTTTTTTTCATTATTTATGTGACGAAGTACAAGTATTTCCTTCCTAAAATGATCTACAAGTCCCTAAAGAACGTTAGCGAAACTCATCAAGACGTTTTTATTTGATATTTTTCAACTGTGTCAGCCATTTTGAGTTTCGTAATGGAAACAAACAAAAATATTAAACTTTCATTCATAATTCTACTATTTGGATTTAAATTTCGCTTCCATGGATCCCAAAATGTTCTTGAAGATGTGAGACGTCATTAAATTATCGAGAGCATGATATCCTCGGCCGAAATAACCGGTTTTACATAGTTTGAAAATATTAGTTTGAAATCTAGCGTGAACTAAAACTTGAATTAAGAATATTTTTAGTGATAACTATGAATATCTGCGATAGTTGAATAATAGTACGTGATAAATGAAGTGAATTGGGTCCTTATGATTATGGATTACAGGTTTATCAGCTTTGTTTACATTGATTAAGTTGATAAGTGGATATATACACTGATCTAAAAAGTGACTAAATTATACCCACAAGTGATATAAGTCATATAAGTGACTCGCTTTAATTACAGATTTCTTTTTACGTTTTTATTATTTCAGAAATAAAGGATGCAAGCGCGACGAAATTTAGTTATGGAACATAATGTATAAACACGCGCTACGGCGCAATAGGGAAGTAGAGATATCGGAATATGTTAAATATTTTTTTTATAGTCTAAAACGCACGGACGTTGTTGAACGGTGAAAGTTTTTGTTTGTTTTGATTTTCTAGAGAGCAATGAATATCTAAACAACACAACTGCACTGTTTTTAAATAAGCTGTGAAAACTAAATTTAAGTCGGTCTAACAAAATTGATCATAAGAAAATAAATGTGAACTGTTACAATCGACAGCTCACTTTAAGACAGTTTTTTTAAACACCATTTGTTTATCTAAATTTATGTATAGACTCTATTTTAATATGATGATGGAGTTATTTTTGAATATTTAGACATTGTAATTTTGTTGGTTGGAGGGGGGGGGGTATATTCCTAGAGAACGAGTTTTGGACCCCCCATCCCCCCCCCCTAATATCAATTTTGTACATGGATCTTTTATGTTAGACATGGATATAACTGACCATGTGGCCGCAGCGCTCGGCCCCCTAGCCTATCCTAGCCGCAGCGCTCGGCCCAGAAAGTGTCTTAACCTAACATGAAGTGATTTCTAAGGGGAATTTTATATAGCCTGTATGAAAGTTATCAACAAATACATTAATTAAGAACAGATCAAGAAGAACAGATCAAGAAATTACATAAGAGGGGTGCGAAGTGCTCTAAAAATTTAGTTTGATGCTCAGGCGCAACAAGTGAGCTTGTGAGAGATTGAGGGGGGGTCCTTTTGTAGAAAAATGTGATTAACCGTATATTACACTTAAAACTATATTCTAGTTCATATCAGCTCTATAAGTTAAACCCAAATGTACATCTCAGTTCCTTGGACTCAGATGTAAAATTTCAGGGTCAAGACGATTATTTTCGATGTAAAAATAGGTACTTTCAAACCTGAACGTTAGTACTTCTGTATTTTCGATGTAAAAATAGGTACTTTCAAACCTGCACATTAGTACATCTGTATTTTCGGGGTAAAAATAAGTAATGACCTATTAAATAGTAATAACGTGGTAATATTGAGCACTTTATTGTTTGTACTTTCAGGACAAAAATTGAAAAAACAATATAAATTTTTAATGTGGGTGGGTAATTTGAATGCATTTCGATATCTTTACTCCCACAGCCATGACGAGAACTGATAATATGCCGGGGGGATCAACCTGGAGAAAAGAGCCGACAACCGGCTCAAGAAAAGACTCCGGCAGTAGCCGGAAAGATAACAGAAGCTCCCGGAAGGATGGATACGCCGGAAGTGGATCAGGGGCGTGGCGGAAAAGATCCCCGCCCTCCCCGTCTTCCTCGCAGGAGGATACGGAGGAGGGCGGCAGATCATACAGGTAATATATCAATCAATTAATCAAGCGATAAATGAACTAAATCAATCAATCAATTATTCAATTAATCAAACGATGAATGAACTAAATCAATCAATTGTTAATGCAAAGATAACCCCGTCATATTTTGTCTTCATTTTTTGGATAAATGTATAGCAAGGGTATATATCTTCATCATGTAATTATGCTGAATTGAACACTGATTAAATAATGGGAAAATAAATAAAGAATTTTGGGTAACATTTTTTGAAATCTTTTTTCGTAATCGCCATTCTTCATAAGATAATTTTACCATTACATATTGTTAACATTATTAAGATACTATTAGTCCTTTAAAGTTTTAAGCCTTTAAAAAGGAGAGGAGGAAAAGCGAATGAAATTTGACTTGTTAACATTATTAAGATACTATTAGTCCTTTAAAGTTTTAAGCCTTTAAAAAGGAGAGGAGGAAAAGCGAATGAAAATTAAAAGGACGTATTTGCAACTAATTGTTTTTTTCTTCGGTTAGTGCATAAAGACCGGGTTATCCTGATTAAACTATATAAAAGGGATTTTCTGCGAAGTTGTTTTTTCTATCCAAATGTTTTGTTCGAAGCAAAATAGAATTTCTCAATTTTGGTGAATATTTGCCACTTGAATCAGGATCCGAACAAAAATAATTAGATTTTTTATATTAGATCTGCATTTGAAACGAATCCAGAAAACCGACGAGCCTATAGTCCTGTGGCAGAAACGGTTAGTATTATAATCATTAATATTTATTGACTTTTTTGACACAAAAATGTCTTAGGTCAAAAGTCAAATTTTTGTATTCTCAAATATATGTGTAAACACTACAGTAATTTAACTATCTCTTGATCGTATCAGACATGTATGTATCAGTGTTAGTACTGATTAAAAAGACCTGAGGTCTGATTAGTTAAAGTGTGTAATTTGATCCTGATCCTGTTTTACTGAAGTCAATTATCTTGAAAATCTTAGTATAAGCTCAACGGTACCATATCCTTGTGACACGGTATAAATAGGTAGACCACCCCCATCAAAAACATTATTTTTGTAAATCAAATTACTTTGATTATTTCAGTTTTGGTTCTTTCATGGTGTTTGTTTTGTCTCCAACTTTCATATAAGTTTGAATATTCTCGAGTACATCCCAAAAAAAATCGATTTTTGGTCTGCAGAGTTTTGTTAATTTTTGTTTTATTTATGTTAAATTACTCTCCCTTGTAATTGTTTTGGGTAATAAATTGATGAGTTAGATCCTTGTCAAAATAAAATTCCTGGTTACTTGTCGGTTTTATTTTTTTTTGTTCAGAGCCGGTTTTCAAAGTTGATGTTGTATTTACATTGTACAATCAGAAATGCTTTTCCCGTTTTAAATTAAAAACTAGGCAGATTTGCTAAAAGTTTTGTGCTTTGATATTTGAGTTGATAAAGTTTATGTAACAAATGATGATTTTTTTTCCAGTTGTTCCGAAAGGATTTAATTTCCGCAATGAAGCTTCCGGATAATGAACCCCTGGGTGCAGAGGATTTCTGGACTGTACAGGACACATGGAAGCAGGAGTGGGAGAAGGGGGTTCAGGTCAGCACTCATTCATCCTTTCAATCATCATTGCATGAAATATTTTATTCTTTTCATTCATCCTTTTTTTTATCCTTCCATCCTTTCATCCTTCCTTTCTTTTCATTCATCCTTTCTTTTCATTCATCCTTTCTTTCATACTTCCTTTCTTTTCATTCATCCTTTCTTTGGTATAATTATAAAAATGTGAATCCCCGTTTTGGGACTAGTTTTATAAGATTATCCACAAAACAAGAAATTTTATTTCTTATCTTAAAAAAAACACAAAAGTAAAATAAGAATCAAATGTTATCTACATACTTGTTCGCCAAATAATCATCATGTTCCCCTAATGTCGTTTGTTTCCCCCCTTCCCCCCCCCCCAAAAAAAAAAAAAAAAAATATGTATTATACCTCAAAGGTTAAGTTTCTCATCCAAAATCATTCGATTCCCCTCGAAAATTATTAATCTTCACTTAACAGGCAATTGTTAAAAAAAAGGTTATCTTCTTGTGAAGATTCTGATTTTAAGCCTCTGAAATCATTAATTTTCATCCAAAAATCATTCATCTTCATCAGAAAGGCATTTGTTCCTATAAAATTCATCTTATTCAAAAAATATCTATCAATCCTCAAAGGTTAATGTCTCATCAAAAACCACTCGATTTCACTCGAAAATTACTATTCTTCACTCAACAGGCAATAGTTCAATGTTAAAAATCTTTTATCTTCTTGCAAAGATTCTAATTCTGAACCTCTAAAATCAATTATTTTCCCTCGAAAATCATTTATCTTCGCCCAAAAGGCATTTCTTTCTGTAATAAAATCCTTCCCTCCATAAATCATAAATCCCGCTCAAAACTGATTGTTTAGGTTCCCGTGAAACCTGATGGTCTGCCTGAGCCCCAGGTTAGCCTGGTTCCCCTCTCAACTAACCGGGAGAGGTTTGGTTTACCTAGAAAACTAATCTGTATGAACGCTAGTGGGTCCTATACAGCAGAAACTCATCAGGTTACACTTTTTATTCTTTTTCTTTTAAGGTCGACATTTTTTCAAACGTATTTTTATTTAAAGTTGAAAACAAGCATATTTTTTATTAAAATTTAACTTTTTCATGTAGATTAAAATAATTTTTCCTTTAAAGAAACTAGAACTTATGGATTGAAGTTTTTAGTAATTAGATGAATAAATTAGGTAAAATATCATCTAACATGATAAAATAGTGCAAGTAGTATAATCTAGGTGTGAAATGAGAAAATTCTAATTTGATGGGTTTTTTCGTTTTTTTTTTTGGCCTAATTTTACTTGAAAATAGATTTTTAATTCAACCTCAGGATTTTTTTTTTATTTTTTACTACAGTTTAAAGGTCTAAGGCCTATTTTGTTTATTTTAGTCCTACCTGGATTTGGATCCAAGTAATTTTTTAGCGATTCTAGAAATTCCCCTGAAGACTGAAAAGCAATAAGTAGTTGAACTACGTAGACTCATTAAACCACTTTTCCTGTGTTGCCGGTTTAATTTTAAGAGAAGTAGTTAAACTAATTTTACAAAGTTAAACTACTTAGTACTTATCACTATTAACCAAAAATAAAGAATTGATGAAAATCCAGATAACTGTTTGCGGTCATACTAGGGATACCTTCCTGTCATACAATATTGATTGATTGAATCTAGGTGACTCCTATGGTGCTGAGAGCTGAGCAGGTGTGTGGGTATGACCTAGACGATGTTGATCAAAGATGGCTCAGCAATCTGAACGGAGAGCGTGTACTAATGGGACAATCCTTGCTTACAGGTGAAATATATTTTTGTCGGGGACGCGTTTTGCTAATAATTACTTTTTAGAGCTTTATAAAAAAAAATTAAAAGATAATCAACTGTCAAAGATGACATAAAAAAACCAAAAATAGAAAACAAAAACAAAATACCAACAAATATCAAGAATTTAATATTTAAAAAAATGAAAATGAGATGTCACAAAAAAGCCATCTTTTATATAATTCATATGAACTTGAACATGCGTTAAATCTGCCTTATTTTACAAAGGAAATAAAAACATGAAACTTCTAATCAAGATTTATCATGTTGCCCAATGTTATTCCTACTACACCCCTTCAGGGATCCTTGGGACTAATTCAAAATCTCAAAACGTCAATACTCTTGAAATTTTATTTTTGGTAAACCAAATACGCTCTGATCGATATTTGTTGATCAACATTTTTTTTAATTCGCTATCATTTATTTCTACTAATTTTAGTCCTTAATTTAGAAAACGAGATGGAGCAAACGATCGAGGAGTTAGAGCGTCAGTGCAGGGATAAAATAAACTCGTCTCTACGAAGCTCCGAGGATACACAAATCCAGCAGGATGACTCCATCATCTGCGACGTTTGTAGATCGGTAAGTGTAGACAAATTAATGAAAACTTTTTTATTTTCAAATTTAAAGAAGCAAAGTGAAAGGATACATATTAAATAAGACTTAAATGGTAAAAAAAATTAAATGTTCGCATTGCTTAGGATCCGGATCCGGATCCAAGGGGTAAAATATCAACCAAAAACTACAAAAAAAATGTTACTCCTAAAACCCAAATCTGAACTTTTAAAAAAAGAGAGACCATACAAATTTCCTTATTTCTGAAACTCAAACTCAAGTTTTAGGATAAAAATAGGCGTAAAAAATAAAACAAAAAATTTGAAAATTATTTTTTGTCAAAAAAATTCAGTAAATCTTAAAGAAATGACCTGGATCCGGATCCGGATTTGAATCCGGATCCATTTTTTTCCAGTGCGGATCCAGGATCCAGATCCGGATCCACATCAAAATTAAATGGATCCTAAGCGCTGAATGTGCGAAATCTCAACTCATGTACAATATGATTAAAATTTATTTTTAATATTTCCTTGTTTAGCCGGACTCTGAGGAAACTAATGAGATGGTATTCTGTGATCAGTGCAACATTTGCGTACACCAGGTAATTGCGTAATTATATTTGAATTTTGCGTATACTAGAATAATTGCGTAAAAACATTTTAATTTTGCTTATACCAGATTGCCCAAATAAGTTGAGTTTATGAAGTATATGTATGTACTTTATATATTTTCAAGAATTGCACAATTAAATGATTTTTGATGCCCATTGAGAAAAATGAAATATTGGGCATAGAAAAGACAATTTATTCAAACTCATTTGATAATTTTTACCCAAAAATTCTGTATTTTCCGGTAAAAATCTGCGGATAACCCCATGAAAACATAATAACGCTCATAATTTGGCGATAATAATTGCAGGGAGGCCAAAATGTGCGGATTGAAAGGATTTTTTTATTATTATCAAAAAATTGCACGGAATGTGCGGATAGTGTCTCAAATTGTACGGATTTTCAGGATTTTAGCCGGAAAATATTTTTTTTTTTCGATTTTGACGACTTAAGAAAAGTTCATTTTTGCATGAGAATTGTGAAGAAAATTTTCTAAAAAGAAGTCTTGTCAAAATTAAGTTCAGCTTATTATCTTCATTCCAAATTATATGAGGTTGATTTTTGTTTCAATTGTCAATTAAAATTCATTCTTACATTGAGACTATGTTCCAGAAGTGTTCATTCGAGAATATTTTCCAGAATGTATGATGTCCCACAAAAAAAAACTTAGTAGGGGTATTTGGTACTGAGGGGAAATTTTCGTTTAATTTTTAGAATCAAGTTGTAATTAAACGTTGAATATTTCATTTTTTTCCAGGTTTAATTTTTTCTTTCTATGTCTCATACTTTTTTTGTCGTCACAGCTACTTCGTAATTTTTCTGTTTTACCAGATTTAGATCAAATATTTTTGATGAAAACGCGAGAAGTGGAATGTACCGATAGATAAACAATAGATATTTTTTTCGACTTGGCAAATTCGCATGAAAAGCTTTCTTTCATTTATTTTTAAAAATGCCAATTTTCTTTTCGATTGCTCTAGCTCAAAAAATAATCATCGATTATCCAAAATTTTAGCTTAAAAAGAAAATCTGTTATTTTCTTATAAATAGATTGAAAAAAAATAAAAACTTTAAAACACCGGGCAATCTCTTATACTTAAAGAAGTCCAGAAAGAATAGAATTCTCAAACTAAAGAATTATGGTCCAATATGAACGGAGTGGGATTAGGGATTCCCTTCTTTTTTAATCTTCTTCCTTTTTTTATAATGTTCTCACTTCCTAAATATGAAATTTTTTTCTTCTTTTTTTTCATTTTAGTTTCAGATATATTTGAAATTGATAAATTACCCGAAAAAAGTAGAAATATTTAATAACTTTTAATAACATTGTTGTTGTTATTTAGGCCTGTTATGGTATAATGTCTATCCCTGACGGCCCCTGGTTATGTAGAACCTGTAGTTTAGGGATTAAACCTCCTTGCCAGCTCTGCCCTAATAAGGTAAACATTATACACAAGTATATTTTTATTTAAAAGCCATAACAAGTTTTATATTTTAGTTGTTAGTTTTCTTATCGAGCTTTTAATGCTTTGATCTTAATACTTTATTAATCAGTAAACTCCTCCAATTTTGAAATTCTTCATCAATAAATTTCGAAATTGAAACTAAACATACAAAATGGAGAAAAATAAAACTGCATTTTTCCATTGTCTTATTTGTTTTGTTATGGTTTTGAAAAGAATTTTAATAAGAAATGAAATTTTTTCTCATTTAAGAACTTGCGAATTTGATTAATTGTTAATATTTTTTTGATAAACTAAAAGCAAAGATAGTAACCCATAATTTATTTTTATCACAGGGTGGTGCCATGAAGAGTACGCGCAGTGGACAAAAATGGGCGCACGTTTCCTGTGCGCTCTGGATTCCCGAGGTTTCTATTGGGTGCGTGGAGAAAATGGAGCCTATTACAAAAATATCAAGTATACCGGTAAGTCGATCATGAGATTATAATATTAAAAATTAACTTGAAAAAAAACTACAGTTACTGTATGATTTCAAGGAGTTTTTTTTGGGGGGGAGGGGTCAGGACAAAATAAAAAATGGGATTGAGATTTGTAATCTTACATACCTTATTACCCCTGCTATCTAAACTAAATATGTTTAAAGGAAATGCATCCCTGAAAAATGTAAATACTGAAAACTAAAATTTGAAGAAATATTATAATTTCAGCAATCCCGGTGGTCCCTTGTGTGTGTGTTGTGTAAGGAGAAGACGGGGTCCTGTATACAGTGCAGCGTGAAGACCTGTAAGACCGCGTACCACGTCACCTGCGCGTTCAGGCACAATCTAGAGATGCGCGCAATCATTGATGATGAAAATTCAGAGGACGGTGTTAAACTTAGAGTAAGTTGTTTCTTTTTATAATCTTTACTTACAGCCATCAAATTCCCAGGAGACTTGGCGCATCAACATTCAACAGTTTGCTTTCAGGGTTTTTTCTTTTTTTTTAGGATAAAGTGGCGAATGTCAAAAAAAAAAAATATTGAAATATTTTTTAATCTGAATTAACTGCAACATCTATCGGCCCTTTAAGAATCCCAACCAACATGATTCATGATTCCTTAAATTAAAACTGCGACGGTCTCCTTTAAGGATGGAATATTTTTACCGAAAAAAAGTTAATACAGAACCAGGCTTATCCCTTTCCTTTCATCTTTTTACATATTTCAAGTTTTTATCTTTTCCTTTTCACAAGATTTGAATATTCCAAGATTAAACTTTCTAGTTCATGTTTTCTTCAATCATCAATCTCAAACTTACTTTTCTTTATCTTCATCTTCCATTTTATTCTCATTTAATTCCTATTTTCTTTTTCTTTTTATAAATATTCTGCTATCTCCTTATTAGTCCTTTTATCTGTTGTTATAATTATTGCGTGAATAATTATCTCTTTTGACCAGTAAAGCGTAATTGCTTCTTTCTATTTATTTTTACTTCGTTTTAAATTTTTCTACCTTAATTTTCCCCATGTTTAGTTCTACTCTTTTTCCTTATCTTCTGACCTTAATTTTCCCCATATTTAGTTCTACTCTTTTTCCTTATTTTCCGAGCTTAATTTTCCCCATATTTAGTTCTACCCTTTTTCCTTATTTTCATACCTTAATTTTCCCCATGTTTAGTTCTACTCTTTTTCCTTATTTTCCGAGCTTAATTTCCCCCATATTTAGTTCTACTCTTTTTCCTTATTTTCCGAGCTTAATTTTCCCCATATTTAGTCCCACTCTTTTTCCTTATCTTCTGACCTTAATTTTCCCCATATTTAGTCCTACTCTTTTTCCTTATTTTTCTACCTTAATTTTCCCCATATTTAGTTCTACTCTTTTTCCTTATTTTCCGATCTTAATTTTCCCCATATTTAGTTCTACTCTTATTCCTTATTTTTCTACCTTAATTTTCCCCATATTTAGTTCTACTCTTTTTCCTTATTTTCCGAGCTTAATTTTCCCCATATTTAGTCCTACTCTTTTTCTTTATTTTCATACCTTAATTTCCCCATATTTAGTCCTGCTCTTATTCCTTATTTTCAGACATTAGTTTTCCCTATATTTAGTTCTACTCTTATTCCTTATTTTCCGATCTTAATTTTCCCCATATTTAGTCCTACTCTTATTCCTTATTTTCCGATCTTAATTTTCCCCATATTTAGTCCTGCTCTTTTTCCTTATTTTCATACCTTAATTTCCCCATATTTAGTCCTGCTCTTATTCCTTATTTTCAGACATTAATTTTCCCTATATTTAGTCCTACTCTTATTCCTTATTTTCCGATCTTAATTTTCCCCATATTTAGTTCTACTCTTTTTCCTTATTTTCCTATCTTAATTTTTCCCATGTTTAGTTCTACTCTTTTTCCTTATTTTCATATCTTAATTTTTCCCATGTCTAGTTCTACTCTTTTTCCTTATTTTCCGATCTTAATTTTCTCCATTTTTTGTCCTACTCTTTTTCCTTATCTTCTGACCTTAATTTTCCCCACGTCTACTCTAGTCCTACTCTTTATCCTTATCTTCCAATCTTAATTTTCTTCATATTTAGTCCTACTGTCAGAAGCACAGCTTGAACAGTAAGAAAACCGATGATTCCGACTCCGAGAGCGGATCTAGGAAGCAGAATTTGTCACCGGAAGATCGGAGGAAAAAGTAAGTTTTACACTAATTGTCGAATTAAAAAAAATTTAACCGCCTCGCTGAACCGCCAAAAACCGGCTCCAATTGAGTGCCGGCTCAAATCTCGAAACACTAAATATAATTTCAAGTGGAACCAACTATGTTTGAGCCGCGTCTCAAATCCTTTAAATTCGACCTCAGCCCAATTGCCTCAAAAAAAAACTTCATTATCTGAATATATATATATATATTTTTTTTAAAGTAGATTTAGTAGAAGAATCTGAAATGTTGTTAGGTTCTTTTTCTTGTTTTGCAAAATAAAGCCAAGTGTAAATTAGCCAAACAAAGGACTAAAACCAACTTTGAGTTGATTTTTGACGAAGTTTTGCTTTGGACCATATTTTATGATAAAACTTATTTGAACGTTTTTGTCTCAATTGGATGAACAATTGAACAAAGAAAAAGACACCAAGCAAATGTATTTTCATATTTCAGGATTGCTAGGTTTGAACGCGAGTTCTTTAAGTTGGTTGATATAAGTACTGCTGCGACTAAAGTTGAGTTAAGCCTGGAGTTGGTTGATTTTATCTACCGCTACTGGATCCTAAAGAGGAGGGCCGGGGGGAACAAGGCCCTCCTGGTCCCTAGAGGGGAGGAGGAGTCCCTCTCCAGTGTTAAGGGTGAGGATACGGAGCGGGATAAGATGAAGATGTTGGTTGGGATTCGTCAGGTATGATAATAAATTCTTAAATAAAATGTTTTCCGTCTGAAATAATCATTCTCTTAACTGCAGTTATCAGATGTCAATCTTAACATTGTGACAAACAAATTCCTGTACATTTTTAAATGTGATGAAAAACGCGCCTGAAGCCGCTTAATATGTTTTGTTCTTTTGATTATTCCAAAATGAGAAGTCTTTAAATGAGATGTTTGTCTTTAATGACAACTAATTTTTCTGAATTTATTTTAAATACTCAGTTTCGCAATTTTAATTTACGAAAAAATGTCGAATTTATAGGAGGGGGGGGGGAATACCGCACCTCTAGACTTTTTTTTATTTCGCTTGCATTTGAATCTTGACTTTTGGTGAAACTGATATGAAATTTTAATTTAGATTTTTTTTTCAAAGTTAATGTGCGGTTTATATAATGTGGGGGATTTTTTTACTTGAAAAAATAAAGAAAAAAAACAATAAAATTATAGATAGTCGCATAATACTTGTGTCCCAATCTAAAACTAAAATATAACAAAATTTAGCTAGGAGGGCGGGATAATGGCTTAAAGATATAATTTTTTACAAACAAATTATAATTTTGTTTGAATAAAAAAATTAATGAATGAAATTAGTTTTATTATTTTTTTAAACATTTCATTTTTGAGGGATGTGATCTCAAAATATCATTAAATATATAATTTTTTTTTCAGGATCTTGAAAGAGTTCGGAATCTTGCATACATGGTATCTCGGAGGGAAAAGTTAAGCCGGGGTTATGTCAAGCTCAAGGAGCAGATTCTAGAACGGCAGCTGGCCTTGATATCAGACGAGGATCCTGCTAACCAGATGACCCTCATGGAGATGTCGGCAGTCCTGGAAGCTAACCATGGTCCAACCATTTATGACAAAACCTACTCTCATGAAGATTCAGAACAACATTCCTATGAGGATTTTGAGGCAATTATTTCCCGGATATCTGGTGAGATTAACGAGGGCAGTGCGCAAATCCGACGAGACAATCCAGTGCGGAAAAGATCGACGGAATCTACTGCTTCTATTAAACCTGAGTTGAGATATGAACGAATTTTCTCTGACACCAGTCAGTCCGAGTCGGATGACAGCTTTATACAAAATGTGAAACCCTTAAACTCAAGACGATCCAATCTTTCCAAAAAATCTCATAAGGATATTAAAAAGAAACCTATAGGCAAAAAATCCAGTAAGTCAAGCAAGTTACTCAACCACACCGACTCATCAATCTCAAGCTCAGAGGAGGAAGCAGAACTGAAGAAACTCTCTCCCCGAAAAGAACTTAATAAAAGTGCTAGCAAGACCAAGACTATATATAGTGAGAGTGAAAGTGATCATGATCTTCAGCCCAAGGGGCGAGGTAGGGGTACAAAGTCCAAAAAATCAGCAAAAGATTCTTTGCGTTTGAACAATGAAAGTTTGGGGGAATGGAGGGATTCGGAGGACACACAAAACTCTATGGACCGGCCCAGATCTCCTGTTTTTAGGACAAAGGCAGCCATGAAGGAATTCTCGTTGCCAGAACTTTCGCGAGCCAAAGAGTCATCCCGGATAGGTAGCAAATCCAATGATGATGTTCTGAAAAAATCTTCTAAATTAAAGCTAGCCAGAGATTCATCACACTCAGAAACTGAGCCCATGGACGTTGATGATAAACCCCCCATTATGCTAGTCCCTCAAAGATCTGCAGCAAGGAAAGCATCACAGAAACTGAACAAAAAAGAAACTGAAGATTTAAAGAAAGGTGGGCGGGGAGTGAAAACATCTGAGCTTTTTGGGGATTCAGAATCAGATGTGGAGATACTGAAGTCAGGATCTCCATTGAAACCCAGGGATGTGAGAAAGAGTCCTAGAGTTAAACATGGTGCTAACACGTCTTACAACTCAGACCTTTCTGAAGATGAGTCCAGTAAACCTGTCTATTCTAAAAAAGATGAAGAACTGAAGTCAAAACAGAATCAAAAATCCAAATTTTCCAAGGCTTCCCTAGCTTCCTCTTTACATGCCCTCTCAGAGTCTGACGAGGATGTATTTGCCTTCCCAAAAGATAAGGATGTTAGACCATCTAAGAAATCAAAGAACAAAAAAATTGCTTCCTCTGCTGGAGAGTCTGAGTTTGACTCTCTGTTTGACACTGATATCAGGCCACCAAGTGGACCGGACTCAGAGTCTGACAAAGAGTTCCTCAACAAGAAAAGAGAGTTTGATGACTTTGAAAATCCTGAAATGTTCTCTTTTGTACCGCAAAGAAAAGCTGCTAAGAAAGCAAGTGCACAACTTCGAGAGCAGGACATGTGGAAGAAATCCCAACAGGAAGCTCTTCTTGCAAGCGCATTACAGGCAAAAATGGAGAAGGCTGATCCAACTCGAAAACTTGTTAAAGTTAGCAAGAAATCTAAAAAATCACAATCAGACTCAGAATCTGAACTCTTTAAACGGCGAACTAGATCATCCGACAGTTCTGTGAGCTCAGGATCAGAGTCAGACTCAGATGCAGGAAAAAGTCAGAGGGGAAGGGGGAAAAGTCCAAAGGGAAAGAAGCCTGGAAAGACTCAATCACCAAGACCAAGTAAGCCAGTTGTGAAGAGACAGAGAAGCAAGAAGAGTCCAAGGGCTGCTCCAGATGGAGCTATTTCATCTTCCAAAGCTCTGGAATATCTTAGCCAACGAGAATCTCAAATATCTAATATTCTTGGCTCTCTCACCAAAGAGGACAAGGAGGAGATTGATAAAGCTGGAAAGGATCCGCCTGATAAGAAGCTTAAAACTTCCGAAGGGCGGCCTGAAGGCGTTCAGTCTCCGCCCAGTTCTTCAAAGACTTCATCTGACTCGGAATCAGATACAGACACTGACGACAGTGTCATCCAAAGACTCAAGTCGGACAATACAAGTGACAAACAACTTGAGCCTCTTGCAAGACTCCCTTCAGACATCCTCAGACCCATTGAGTCAGGTGTTGAGTCCAAAGAAGCTAATGATACACCATCTCGAAGAGGGAGAGGAGATATCAGTGATTCCTCAGTGGACCGACACACGGGGAGAAGCAGAGGATTTGGAGAGGAAAATTTCACCGGTGATCATTCCATCTTTGACCCAAGTTCCAGAGCGTCGCCCTCTCAGAGTGTCCAACTCCAACAGCCCGGTCCGAGGGAAGATACACCAAAAAAGAGTATCTTCAGTCCTGACAGAAGCCCACCAAGAGATGAGATCAGTGAGAGGTTGTCGCCTGCTGCCTTTGGACCCGGAGAACATGAGTCCACCAGCCAAAAAGAGAATGAAAGCCCATCTCAATGGGGGTCCCCGAGGGGTAGAAAACAACCCGAAACTAGGTCGCCTCGCATCTCAAGCTCATCAAGAGAAAAAGTACGGGACATACTCACTCAGACAAAGTCCCCTACCAAAAGTCCGGCATTGAACAGGTCTTTAGATAGTTCTTTGAACAGATCCATAGAGTCAACTCACAACAATAGCCCCCTTCCCAACCTACTTAAGTCACCAATAGGTATGTCGCCTTCTCTTTCTACAAAAGACATACACAATAAATCTCATGAAGATAAGACTGCTGCTGATATTTTTAAACCTGCACTAAATAAATCAGACAATGAACCTGAAGAAGAGATTGGAACTGGTAGAAAATTTAGTGTTGAATCCAAGGATTCTGATGCTGATAGTGCTAAATCCTCCTTGACTGATGGTAATGGACTCCTCCAAGATATCAGCAAAGAAGACTCAACAGACACACTAGAGTTTACTGACAAACTAAGTGATACTAGCCTGAAAATTGGAACTCAGAAAGGGGTGCATCAAACCAAGACAGATGAAGGATATGTTAGTGCTGAGAAACCGGTGGCAGTTCAACCTTCACCAGTGTTTGAGAACAATATTCATGATTCTATTCGTAGAAAAGATATTCAACCTAGCCTTGACAACATTGTTAGTAGTTTGGAGAAAAGCTCTGCGATGGCACAGAAAGATAGTTTTGATTTTGGCCTAAAGCCTCAAAACCCTGTTCCAGATCACAGCAAAGCATTTCAACCATCAGCTCTTCAGCAGCTCTCTCAGGAGCAGCAAATGCAATTTCTAGCAGCAGACAAGCCTAAAGACGACCTTTCAACATTCTACAACCAAACCTCCTCCACTGGTCACAAAACTAACAACTCTATGTCTTCATCCGACCTTCAGCAGTACTTTCAGCAACAACAGCTTCAACAGCAGATGTTGCAAGATCCTAGATCATGGCCTCAGTACAATCAAGAGCAGCAGAAGCAGAAGCAGGACCTTGATACGTTTGGGAAACCAGATAAGAAGAACACAGATGCCTTGGTGAATCATCAACAGCAATTGTACAACGAAGCATTACTCAATCAGATGTTTACCATGCAGAGCAAATCCCAACAAGTTGCTTACGCTCAGCAATATGTCAAGGTATTTTTTTCTTCTCACTTTTATCGCTCTTGAGGTTTAAAAAAATGATATTTTTAGAATGTCTGCAAAATTCATCATATTTCAAAATTCTCTTTAAATTTACACTTTGCAGGACATTTATTTTATAAAAGATTGAATGAGATATCCTAACTTTTCTGTCGGACAATTATTCATTTTCAATTGTGGTTTCTTTTTAAAAGTGACTTGCAGATTTAAACATAATAGACTTTATATTTTTCAGGAAAGATGACATTTTTTTTCTTTTTTCTTACATAGATTAAAGTTTAAAGGGTATCGTTGTCCATCTGACATGACAGTTAAAAAGGAGGGTCCCTTGATAAATGCCTACAGTTCCTTAAGAATCGGTTTTTCCCTTTTTAACCATCCTTATCCAACACTTAGAGGGAGGGTGGATGGGGGGGGGGTGTAGTCTCGTTATGCTTTTGGATCTGTGCATATTATTGTCATGAGAAAAGAAAATTCAGATATATTGTCAGAATTCGGCTCAACTTTTCACAGGTTGGAGCCATATCAACATCAAAATAGAATTTAAAACATTTGTTTTAACACTTCTAAAATAACTTGGATGTATTTTTTCTTATTTCTGAACAATGTTTGGCACAACCCAATCATAAAATCTAGGTTGGCTGCAGTTTCTGAAGCCTTTCAAATGTCTTGCGATTTTTAATTTTAACAATCTTCAAATTACGCATTTTTTCTTTATCTTGTTGAGGAAATCATTTCAAGTTTTTTTTCATAGTCTTTAACGAATACTAGTACCCGACGTATAATTCTAAATAATTGTTTTTCTGAATTTTTAAATTTTAGTTGTTACTGTAAGGATATAAAAGAATTCATTCAGATGAATCAAGTAATTTTTCTAATCAAATTAGCGGAAGAATGAAATATTTTTTCTTTTTAAATAATGAATATTTAATAGGATCCATAAAATCATGATAAAAGTATCCAGTCAAATTTAAACCACTTTTTTGAGCTTTAATCTGAAAAAAAAATTCGTCTACTCGTTTTTAAAATATTTTAGTTATCACACTGGTAGTTATTTTACATTTTTTAAACTTTTACATACAGCTGAAATAGATGTCTGATTTTTCAGAGGACAAATTTGAAAGAGAGAAAAAAGGGGGAAATATTTGCAAAAATTATGATTTATCTTTGTTATTAGGAGTTGGCCGGGTTTGGTTTAAACCAGAACCTTGATCTGTATACACAGGCTCAAGCACATCAACTTCACTATCAATCATACCTTCAAGCAGCATACGGAAAGAAGGGAAATAAATACCATCTGAAATAGTAAAAATACAAGCCCACCCCCCCCCCCCATAAAAAAATGAAAAGAAAATCACGGTAATATCACACTGAGCCCGCGATTTAAAAGCTTCGGCTCGGGTCGTATTCCTTAAACCTAGCTTTAAGACCCAATCTTAGACAGCTGCGAGATCTTAGGCTCAACTTAGGATTTAGGTCCAATAAAAATAAAACCGACCTTGGTTTGTTGTAGTGGAGAATAAGGCTCGATGTTCAGTCTTGTTCTCATAAAAACCCGGAATGCGCCCATTCTCACCATGAAAATCCGCCAAATAGCATATTAAACCAGTTTTTTGAACTCAACTCTGTGGCAAATAAGATGCAGCTTGAATCCGAAAGCTCAAGTCGTTATAAGGCCAAACGACAGCTGAGACCTGTGTCGTATTTTCTTAAATTTTTTTAATCGCCGACTCTGGAATTTTTTTACACGTAGTTTTTAAAATAAAAAAGCTGTTGGAAGAATTTGGAAAAATTAACCCCTCAGCTGTGGTTTGTCATGGAAATAAATGGTGAAAATGACTCGTTTCCCCGGAAATCTATTTATGAATTACTAATTAGTTGTTATTACCTCCCCATCCCGCCTTTGATGAAACCAATATTAGATATTCTTAGAGATGGCAACATTAAAGAATAAATTCGAAAAAATCCTAACTCCCCCCCCCCCTAGCAAATATAAAGAGTTTATGGTTTATAAAAAACATCCCTAGTTTTTTGAAATTCATGTAAAATATTAAACGTGAATTACATACTTTCCTCGCCTGTACTTGTTTTATTTTTTCCAGGGGTGTATATAATTCCATATTTTTTATTCTTCCACCCCCCTCTAATTTTTTTTTTAATTCCTTCCCCAAACTCGACAACTCAAAAGACATAGATTAAGCTCTTCTCAGATTTATTATAGTATAATCATCTAAAAAAATTTACTTATTCTTACTTAATTAAACTGTAAAAAAGTCTACAGGGACATGAGACTGATTTTCTTGGTTCCTTCCCTTCTCCCCTCCTTCCCTTCTCCTTCCCTTCTTCTTCCCTTCCCCTTTCCTTCCCCTTCCCCTCTTTTGTGACCTTTGATTCCATTTCCCCCCCAGGGGGGGGGGAAATGGAATCATATACACCCCTGTTTTTTCTCTCTACTCTAATTTTTAGAAAAAAATTTAAAATCTTAACAATCTTAGACTTTACCTAACTAACGTTAAAGTTTTTAATGAATTTGTCTCAGGAAATTGTAGTGATTTCTTTTGTATTATCTGGGGCCGAATTTAATGAATAATAGAGGTTGCTAAACTATCTCCCGCCGATTCAAATTCAATGATAGAATGATATCCTATTTTTAATCGGTGATTCATTATTTAAACTGGCGGTAGTTAATTCAGCGTTCTCTCTCTAACTCATCAAATTCTGTTAGTGATTCTGTCAGGTTTTTTTTCCAATTTTCGTGTCTAAAATTTCTTTAAACATAAATTTTTTGTCTATGCTAGTTTTTAGCTTTTCTCTTAATCATTTATTTTTTGTTGCTGTTATTTACAATCCTCCATTCATTTTTTTCTCTTTTTTATTATTTTTTCAAAAAGAAAGTGTTGTATTTTTGTCTTTTTGCTTTTTTGCTTTTTTGCTTTTTTACTTTTTTACTTTTTTACATTTGTGAATGAAGGCTTGTGTCTTACTTGGAAGTGTCGCTTCAAAGAGAGTCCTGTTTTCCTCTTATTTGACTTAACAAAATTAAGTTCATTTCCAACTGCATTTTATTTTGATATTTAAAAAAACTTTTTAAAAAATTTGACTAATTCCGTTTCTTTTTTTTGTGAAGAAAATTTAATTTGAAAATTAAGGTTCTAATCCTGAATATTTTCTAGATGCAGAACGATATTCTCAATGCTGCTTGGCAGGAGCAGATGGCAGGTTGGAGTCCATACACTCAAGGGGTGAACAAGATATCAGAGTTGGAAAAGATGTCCCGAAACAGTCTCTCAGATCTAGAAAAGATTACCCGGGAGCAGAACAAGGAAAAGATGAAACAGCCAAGCTTGTCTCTGGTTCAGCAGAAGATGCAAGAATCCAGGAGGGATCAACCATCCTACATGGATCAACTGCGCCCTCATCAGGACCAACGTTCTTTCCAAGAGCAGATGCGAACGCAGGAGAAGCGCGCTCAATCAGAATCAGTGCGTCAGGACGATTCATCCAAATACTCTCATCCTGGAAGTCAGGTTTCCTTTTTAAATGATCCAAAATCCAGGATTGATCCAACCCGCTCACACCTGGATGCTTTGGCCCAGTTTGGAATGATCAAAACAGACAAGTCTCCTGATAAATCCAAGGCTGGAAGATCATCTCAGGATCATTTACCTCCAGACATGCGTCAAAGATCCCACCAGGATCAGAAGCATCAACAAGAATTGAAGAAGCACTCTGATCCATTTAGAAATCAGTTCAACATTGGGTCGTACATGGATAGTACCAACCAGGACCAACAAATGCAGTACACATCAGTGCAGAAGAGCCGCCCTGTGTCGCCAAGGCATGAGAAGCAAAACCTCTCATCTTGTAGGATGGAACCACAAAAGGTGGCCGAACCTGTGTATGGAATACCCTCTGCTACTCCAGCAGATAAGCTCCCAGGGTTTGTTCACTCAGTCGCTCACTCTAGAGAACAGAAGCGACAGAGCCAAGAAGGAGCTAATGAGTATGTTGAACCCGTGAAAGAACAGAAGAAAGGTCGAGATACCCCTGCATCTGTAGCAGGTTCTGATGCATCACTTAACTCAGCTCCAAGCGGGATTCCTAATGAGCTTCTTGACTCTGTTCTAGAAACTGCTAAGTTACCGGTTTGGAAACCCCCTGATAAAAGTGATGTGAAGATCTCAAGTCCTGCTAAACCACCCCAGGCCTCTCCTCCTAAACCTCCACCAGTGATTTCTGAACGTGATACCATCTCTCTTGAGGAATTAGTCAAGCATATTGATGCATCCCCAAGTCCCAGAGATAACAGGATAGAAAAGTTGTCTTCCATTCCTCCATATCTGACCTCACCTCAGTCAGTAAAATCTTCGACACATGAGAAGACTGAGTCAGGAAGTACTACAGCTCAACTTCTCTACTCAAATATTCCCGGTCTCATGGGGGCTAATATAGCCCAGTCAGATAAGGAAATGTCAGAAGCAGACAGATCAGATTATGACAATGATCAGCATGACAAAGGCGGTGTTGATTATGATGATGATGAGGAAGATGAGGATGATCTTCCCCTCGGAAATAGGATAAAAGGGCTGGACTCGAGCAGTCAGAAAGTTTCAAATGAAATGGATATTTCTTCCTGGAAATCAGATGCTACAGATTCCAAACCAGTTAAAGCAAAACCTGAAGCAACTGAAGAAATTAAGCCAAAGCAAGCTGTTACGAAGAGAGGTACCAAAGTTCCTTGTTATAAAGAAGAACCAGAGTTACCAGTGGTAGAGAAAGCATCTGAAGTTTTAACAAAAAGAGGAACCAAAGTTCCTTGCTATAAGGAGAAGGAGGTTGAAGAGAGTTCTCCTGCGCGGATTCCTCTGGTAAAGAAAGTGTTAACACCAATAACTAAAGGAAAGGCTAAGGGTAGAGGAGGAGCAAGAATGTTCTCTAGAAATAAGGGACCCAAATATGATCAGAAAGCGTTTGAAAAAGTACACAAAAATCTTGTTGGAACTGACTTTGACTTTGAAGACGAATTTGATGATGATAGTGGATTTACACCCAAGGAAGAGGTACCCGGTTCATTGAGAGATTTCCGGGAACAAACCAAGAGTAAGAAATCAAATGATTCATTTGATTTTGATGATCCAGACAATTCTGGTCTAACCCAAATGCCTCCAGTTCAGCTTGAACCTGAAGAGGAGGATTTGAAATTGTCTCTTAGAACAAAGATTGGTGTGAAAGGAAAATCAAGGGCAAAAAGTACCAAGAACCTTGTAGAAAAAGAACCTGAAGTGAAACCCAAAATCATTCCGTTGAAGATCAAAAAGATTACAGAGAGGAAAGAAGAAAAGCCTAAAATTCCAAAGCTTAAGATCAAGTTTGGTGCAAGAACAGAATCGCCATTGGAAGCTGAGGTTGGGGTTAAAAATAAGAAAGTTCAAGAAGCTTCAGAAGAGTCCTCTGTTCCTCCAATAAAGTTGAAGATCCCCACTCTAAAGATCAAGTTACCTCCCAAGCCTGAAGATTTAGCAAAGGTTGCTGAGGAAGAACCTGAAAACAGGGAACTACCTCAAGATCTGGACATGGAACCTCCTGTGCTCATTATAAGATCTACTCCCAAATCCCCTAGGTCTCCGGCCAAGAGTAAATCAACACCAGTGTATCATCCCACCTCTTACCCTGGAGATGATTTAGATGATGTTGAGCCTCCTAAGCAAGATTTCTCTCTTGAAAGTCTAAAATCAGATTTTGTCAAATCTAGTCCTAAACTTAATCTAACTAAATCTCCTGCTGCTACCCCACCAACAGCAGTTGGGAATCTAGATCCCTACTTGGCAAATGTTACCTCTGAAATATCTCCAAAGAAAACCAAGGGATATATAGACATGCTGGCAAGCAACCTCATGGCTAAGAAACAATCTAACACACTACCTAAGCCAAGTGAGTTCCCTATGGACAAGGCTAATGAGCTGGCAGCTATTTTTGGCCCTGAGGAACCTTTGCCAGTGAATATGGGAGCAGAGAGTGAGATTATTGCAGCTGTAGCAGATAGATCAGAGGATGGACCCTCTGAGTTAGATCTGTTAACCCTGGAACTGAAGAAATTAGAAAAAGAGAAACTACCGAAGGAAGATGAGGAGAAGAAGGACGAGAGAAGATCTACGGTTGAAGAGGTGCCACGTCCTGAATACATCCCTGAGAGGCATGAGGAGGAAAACCACCATCATCATCATCTTAAGTACAAATTTAAACCTTCCGCCACAGATTTCAGTCGTAACACAACCTCTCCTGGTCCCAACACTCCTGTTAAGATCAGTATTGTCCCACCCAACAGTGATGTAGGACAGCGAAGAATGAGGAAAAAGGAGTTGCTCAACTCTTACTTTGGTATTGAGACCCCTGCTCAACCTGCACCCCAAACTCATCCTGTTGCAAATGGACCTGTTTACCATGCTGAGACACCTAAGGAACCCTTCAAGATGAATATTATTAAAATTCCTAAGGCTGTTGCTAGTGTAACGAGTGTTCCAACCAGGGCAGATTACCAATCTCAGATGGAGGCAAACATGGAAAGGAAAAGAAAGCGTGAAGGGAAAGAGGAACCCAAGGTAAAGGGACAGAAAAAGGGAAAAGGAAAGCAGAATAAGAACGAGGAGGATGTTTACAAACCAAAGCTTAAGAAATCCCAAGAAATTGTATTGGAACCTAGTAATGAGAAAGGAGAGGTAAGAAGGACGAGGGGAATGCCTCCGAAGAAATGTCTCCTAGAAGATTCTCCCGAGCGTGAAGAACCCCTAGACTCCTTTAAGAAATCCAACATGAGGTTCGCCGAGGAAATGTTGAAAAACTTTGATTCCAAACCGGCGGATAAGGAGCGGAGAAAGAAGGATAAGAAGAGGAGACGGGAGGAGGAGGATAAAGAACAACCCAACACGAAAACTCCCCGTATTGTTATTAAATTTAGTAAGACGAAAGATCAGCAGCCTAAGCCTCCTGGCCCTGACAATAATGGCCTAGCTAAATCGGATTCTGCTTTGGAGGGAGGAGGACATTCATTCACAAAACTGAAGATTAAGTCTCCAGTGAAGTGATCTAATGCATAAGTTTGGGTGCCATGTTAAAACTAGTGCATAGGCCCCAACTCTCAGATATACCCGTCAGATATAGCCGCTGCAAATAATATATTATATACATATAATCACTACTAGAAACTGAACTTTTAAAGTTTTCTTAATTCCATCAATATTATTATATAAATTAGGTTTTATTATTATTATTATTATTGCGTCGTCAGATCTTCTATATTAACCTATCTAATATGTATTCAAATGTAATTTCCATATCAAGTTAAAGATGGGTTGAAAAAATACAAAAAATGCAGTATTTTGTCCCATCTTTTTAAGACTGTTTTTTTAACCTTTGAGGACTCACCTTGCAGCTCTATCTTGCTCAACCCTTGTGTACATCGTGCACCCCTACTATTCAAAATTTTGCATTTTTTGCTAATCTTTGTTTTTTCTTTCCTTGGTAAATATAATATTAATTATCCCTTCCAATGCACTAACTGGGATATATAATCCTGGTATTTATAAATATTATGTATTCGTACCTGAGTTTTATTGATTAGAATACGCGGGGGGTGGGGCGGGGTGTTTGGACCCCCCCTTCTCCTTACCTCTCTGTTTTATACATAATAGATAGAAAATACTCGGATATTAGTGAAACAAATGAATTAAACTGTTGACCCCTGGCCACGACGCCATTGGATTCTTGTATGCATTCAATCGGAATAAATTGTTGATTGTTTTCCCATATATTTATTTTTGTACTTTGGATAGAGTCATGACTTAGTGTGTGCAGGGGCGGCCGTTAGCCGCAACATTTTCTCCTTTAATGCCACATATTATCTTTTTTGTCTTCCGGCAGCCATAAGCCACAACCGTATAGTCTTTCATGCCCTAGCATTTGAGTCTTCCAGCAGTTATTACGTTTTTAATGAAAGGTACAGGGCATTGAAATTGCAATTTTTTAAATCCTGCCGTATATCGGGAAAGACTATAGTTTTAAGGATTTTTAAAGTTTATTGAGGATCAATGAATTGTGTGCTCGTTTTATAAACTGCTTTACATTATTTATAGAAAATTTTACATCATTCTACGCATTGTAGGCACCAAGACTAATTGTTTTAGTAGTCAAAAGAATAAGAAAAGATTACAAAAATCACAATATTAACTGTCCTTACTCGAGAATTACAGATTTCCCCAAAAAATCTTCTATTTTGTAAATTTTTACGATAAATAGTTGCAAATTTTCAGTTAGGGGCGACCTTAAGTAAGAGTAAGTTATGGAATCGTCATTATTTCAATTTAAAAGTTGAATATAAAGTTCTTTATATATATCTTATGCCATGATTTTTGAAAATACCAATTTTAATCATTACCTTTGTTATTCACAAACGTAATAACTGCCGGATGACTCAAATGCTGTGGCATGGAAGTCCGTACGTTTTTGGCTCATGACTGCTGGAAGACAAAAAAGCTAATATGTGGCATGGAAGGGGAAAATGTTGTGGCTCACGGCGTAATTGGGGAAATTTTATGACTTTTTTTGTAAAGTTATGAGAGGAAAAAAACATGCCTTTTGATGTCCAATTCTAAATTTTTCTCAGATCTTCAAAAATCATCCCCTCCTTTTTCTATAGTGTGAACTAGAAACACCATACTCGGAAAGGAGGCCAATCCGCCCTCTCAAAGTTTTACAAAAGATTACAGTTTATCGTATTAATCAACTTTTTATGAAGTTTCCAATCATTTTAGTGATATAAAATTATTTATAATTTTTACTAGTTTGAATTAATGTGAAAAAAAAACAACATGAACAAGGAAAGCCAATGTTCAACAGGATCAAGTAGTTAATTTTTTTCTTTAATTTTTTCTCGAGAAACTCTAGGATGGCCATTTTAGGTATTAATGTATGTCAGAGTTACTGTTAAGTTGAAATCAAAATCAAAATATAACATTCTGTAAAACGAAGTTTAATTGTTAAATATTTAAGGGACATTTTAGGTTAAAAGCTGAAGGATTTTGTTCCGAGATGTTGGATGGGTCAATCTGCTGAACAATCCAGAGATGATTTCAAGGATGTACGGGGGGAAAGACTTAAACCGCCTAAATTATCAGATTAAGTTTCGTAGTTTCGAAGTGTCTTCTTTATAAACAAAACTGAAATTATTGTGACTTTGTCCTAATAATTCTTATTTACGAATTTTAATTTTGATTGTTGCAACTGAATACTTTTAAGATGTACAGAGCTGAAAACTTCAGAATTGGAAACTCTTAATCCTGATAGCTGTAAATATCCACTGTGAAAACTTTTAATTTTCTTTTTAATCCGCTTTTGTTGGATATAATTTCCTACTACATGGAGTAAAGATACTTTTGACAACAAATACAGATACGATGCTGTATCAATTGGACTAATATCCGATTGAACAAGCCGGCTTTTAGAGCATGTAAACGAATAAAAATTTAATCATGTTAATATGGACTTTTTAAAAACATATTTATCACATAAGGACATTTGTCTTAATAAACATTAATCCAAAACTTACGTTCGTTCAATCGATGATTTATAGTCCATTTGATATGACACCACAAATGCGGGAAAATTAAAAACTGTTTTTTCAAAAGTTAAAACAGCGCATCTCTTAATCTCTAGAAATGAATCCCAAGTCAAAATCAGTCTTGAGACTAGAAAAACTAGAGGATCAAGCATTGATCTCGATATCCACCATTCTAAAGTTTTCAGCTCAGGACACTTGTTTACAAATTACAAAAGCTTCAGCCTATAATTTCATGATACAATAAAGAAGGCTATGTTCTCACAATTGTAAATGTTATCTGAAATAACAAAGCAAATTTTAAAGGAAGATAAAAACAATTGTATTTAAGTGCATTGGTGACGAAGCGTTTTTTTTTACTAAAGTAAAAGTGGTCAAGTTGAAATTTTTCTGAGTTTCGTCATTTTGAGATTGAAGTGTGGGGAGGGAGGGGGCGCAGGGCCGCCATGAGCCCCGCAAAATGGTCTCCATTTCTTCGTATTCGAAGATGAGTGCTTAAAATGACCAGGCGCTATACCCCTAAACGTTAGAATAGATTTTAAAGAAGTAATAAATAACATTTTTAAAGAAAATATTTAATCTTTAAATAGTTCTGCAGTGATTTTTTGAATATTCAACAAAACTTGCATAGATATAGAAATATTAAATATAAAATATTTTAAAAATTTCTATAGGATAGGGGTAGCGCCGGGTCATTTTAAATACTCCTCTGCTAAGCCAGAAGTTTGGAGACCATTTCGCGGGGCTCATTGAGACCCTGCAACCCCTCCCTAGTGTGGGTATAAACTATAAAGCGTCACTATAAGTCTGAGTTGATTTGTCGAAATTTTTGCGTTCACGGAAATTTGTGAGAGAATGAAATCAAAGATAACCAAGGAAGTAATTAAACTGACCCAAAGTTACGATGGCGAAGATATCGGGTAAATAATGTAGTATTTATTATGTTCGACTTCAGCATTTCGGAGACTAAATGTTTGCAGGGAAACTCTGGTCCAAATATTGTATAAGCTAGAAACCGGTTTGATTGTAAACAAATAACAGGGGGTTTCCACTATACCCAGGAATTAATAGCCTTGGATTAAATCTTTAGGTTGATAACCTGTAACTATATGTATGTAGTCCCTGGACTCTGACTCCTAAATTGTTCTCAAACTATGTATGTAGTCCCTGGACCCTGACTTCAAAACTGTTCTGGGTTCAAGGTAAAACGTAGTTAAATTATTCCCTTGGTCATAAACCTCATAGACAGGGTCATACATTTTGTGTTGTGAAGTTATTTTCATATCTTTTTTAATTTTTGGTTTTTAAGTTTTAACTAAGTTGAGAGTTGGGAACTTTTATATCGGAAACCTAAAATCTAGATCTTTGAGTAAGCACATTTTTTAGATTTAAATTTTAAGTTGCAAATAAAACCTAAACTATTTCAGGGGATTCCGTTTCGGCCGCTCTGACCATCTTCAATCTTTACTACTTTGTAAATTATACAGGATACATTGCTAATTTTGGCTGTTTTAAAACTATGTAATTTAAATTATTAATTTTATATTTACTTGAATAATCTAACCAAAGTTCCATTCCTATAATCATTTAAATAACTCCAATCGAAGTACGAGCCTCATTAAAACCTAGGATGATCATTTTAGGAAAGTTTGTTAAACGGGACAATTCAATAATTTTTCTTCTAATGAGTTTGGAATTTTGAGTTTTGATAAACCAGTTGTGGGCCATGATAAGCTGGGAGCTGCCGACGATAGCAGTGTTGATCAGGATGCACGGTTCGAGCCAATCCTATCCATCTTCGGGACTGAGTCCTACTGACTATATACTTTTAGTTATAGTATTATTAATAAAATCTAGATCGTTTGATCTCGCTATTAAGAGGGCACTTCTGAACTTTTACATAAAATTTACAATTGTAAAGCTTTAATTAAACTGCAGAAGGAATGCGGCAGTTAATTGGAATCTTGTTTATCTTCACGGGATATGGAAAATAAAGATTAAATTAATCTGTAGATTAACAAAAGATCGAGATCAATTATTGATCTCTAAATCCACAAGAGTTCCCATCTAAAATAATTTTTTTTCTCCAGGCACAATTTAAGAAATGTTTCAAAACATTTTAGTGTGATGAAAGTGAAAATGGAGATTCATGTATTCCAGCATTTTACTATAAGCAATCCTCGCATGCAAAGCTAATTTCGGCCGCTCTTGCAGGGTTTCATTAGATAAACTTTTTTTCAAAATTGCCGGAAGGGAGAGTCCAAAAAATGAGAAAATGGAGAATGGAGGACAAACAGATGACAAGAATAATTAAAATCAAATTTTTTGTGTGATCTGTACCCACCCCCCAAAAAAATGTTTCAGAACTTTTTATTTTATGGTTGTCTTCCCATAGTAGTAGCAATTAAACATTCGGTGTCTGAATTTAATTAATATAAGCCGCGTTTCAAATCCCTCAAAAACCGGTTTCAATTGAGCGCCGGCTTAAATCTTGAAAAATTGAATACAAGTTTAAGTGGAACCAACCATAATTGAGCCCGGCTCAAATTTAAGCCGCGGCTTAAATTCTTTAAATCCGGCCTCTGATGTCTGCAGGATAATCAAGTTTTCATATTTAATTAAGAAAAGACTGTTCCGTCTTCATCTTCCCTGCATCTGATGGGAGTGACAGGATGGGATCACGTGACCCTGATGTACAAGCTATTTTGGAAATTTTACAGAAACATGAAAAATAATAATAATTTGTTTGAAAAATCTTGAACTTCACCAGGTTGCCAGCTGAGGATGAGACCTTAGAGACGACTGTACGGAATTTATTCTGTCTGTTTCCTTATATTAACGAATCCCTGAAACTGTAAAAAAATTTGTTTCTTCTCCCAAATCACTAAATAAATCAATGAATTACTTTATCAAAGACAGAAGAATTAATTTAACCTTGAGATCGTCGTATTTTAAGAGTTTCCATTTTCCGATCGTCTTGACAATTTTATTTTTGTGGTAATCCTAAAATAGATCGAAATGAATTTGTTCGAAATTAATTATGCCGTTATCTTACAACTTGTTATATCCCTTTTTCATATTAATAATTTTAAAATATTTTCAATCATTTTAAAACTGCGAACAAAAAATAGTTTTTCAACAAACAGCATAGGGGCTCACAATGAATGAGACTGAAGAGGATTTTATGAATGTAAT